AGAGATTTAGCTCTTGTGGTATAGTTTCTAGTAGATTTTAATAAAGGTTTAATTGTTTTTGTTTATTTTTTTTCCTCCACTACTAAACGTAAGTGGAGAGAGAGAGAGAGAGTTTTTATTTTATTTCTTTCTTTTTTGTTTTCTTCAACTTTGTGTTGTTTGTTGTTTTCTGAAGCATATGTTATCTTTGGTTGTTGTTTGCATCTTGTTGACTGTTAGTTGTTCTAGTTTGTTTAGCTTGGTTAAAGTGTGTTTCTGCCTTTTCAAAGAGCTTTGATTTTTCTTTTTTTCAGCTTCTAGCTTCTCCTCTACATATAAAGCCCAGTTTGTAGAAGCTCCTTCTATTGCTAAGCTAGTAAAGACTTCAGTTCTGTTTTTGACTCTTGGAATGCTGCTTACTTTTGTTACTTTTGTTGCTGTGAAGTTTCCTTTATTTTTTTTGTTTTCTTCATTTTTAGTGAAGCAAACTTAGAAACACATTAGCAACCATATTTTAGAAGCATTTCAAGATGTCAACCAGGTTGCATCAATTAAACCTCTGTTTTATAAAGGCACCACAGTATGCTCAGATCAGTGGTTGGTGACTTTCGAAACTACAGATGACCCAGATCTAACAAGCAGGATTTTCAGAAGTACACACATTGGTAACCATAATGTTACAACAGAATGGAAGAAAGCTTCAAAAGCTGCTTTTTCTGTAAAAAAGAAGAACACTTTAAAAGGGACTATAAAGAGCTAAAAGAATCAATAGAAGCAAGATAAAGACTAAAAGAAGCAAAAAAGCAAAGAGAAAGAGCCAAACTCCAAAAAATTGTATAGGATGAAATAATAATAAGCCCAAACAACCCTTACATAGAGAGACCAAAAGAAAAGGTTGCTCAAGAACTGACAAAATCAGAGCCAACTTTTAGTGCAAACAATCTATAGAAGAAAATACAAAGCAAATGAGAAACAAGACGAATTAATGCCAATTTCTAAACACACCTCAGATTCAGAAGAAGAAATGTCAATGGAATCAGAAACTGAGCTGCTAAATAATTCTACAAAGAAAGATAAAACTACAAACACCAACTGAAAAACAGAAGCACTTAACAATGCCATTCAGAAACTGATCTTAAGATACTCAAGTCTGATGTAGCACCTATCTTTAACATATAATATAATGATCAAAATTACTACACTGAATGTCAAATGCCTAAACAATAGGTTCAAAGCACAAAAAACACTTACATTTATAAAATCATATAACTCAGATCTAATACTAATTCAAAGCAATAGGGCTATGATTCATTCTGAACCTCAAAAACAGCTATATTAGCAGGAAAAAAAGATATTAAACTTACAAACATTAAAGAAACCCTGAAGGGCTAAGTAATCACTGCCAAAACTAAATTAAACAACAATCTTTTCTAATTACAAACATCTATACCTCTTTAAGTTTAGAAGACAGAGTTTCTTTCTTTAGAAAATAGACACTAAGTAAAGATAAAGAAAGTATCTGCATCATAGCAGGAGACCTTAACACTAATCTTAATCCTGTGAAAAACAGAATAAGCCAAGCTGCACCACAAAATGACTGCTCAAGGCAAATAGTCAAAAACCTTATGGCTGACTATACAGGCACAGCTATCTGCTCAAATGATAAGTAATTTTTCACATTCTATCAATCAACACAAGGCAGCCAAAGAATGGCAACCAGACTAGACTACATCTTCATTGAAGCAAACTATAGCCACTTGTGTCAAAAAATCCATACCTGATTCAGCAACTCAGATCATTTACTAGTAGAATGTGAGTTTAGCTTCAAAAGCAGCCAAGATCACAAATCAATATAGAGATTCAACAGAAAAAGCTAGAAATTCCAGAACTAAAAACAGACATTATACAAGAACTACAAAATATTCAAGATCCTAAAAACTGGGACTTACACAAGTGCATAATTCAATCAATAATCAGAGCTTACAAACCACACCCTTCATCAGAAAAGAAATACAAAAAATACATAGAAGAATATGCACTCTGAACAACAAGATTGCAAAAAACCAAACTTAGAAGAACTAAAACTAGTAATCAAAAGACACAACATTGAACTTCAAGAAGAACTAAGTTCATTATCAAACAAATGGTGAATTAGATCTAATGCCAAGTGGATAGAAGAAGGAGAAAAGTCCACTAAATACTTCTACTCTCTATACAAAACAAAACATTCAACATCTTGCAGCACCAAGATTAAAATCCCAAACAGTCAAAATGATACATCACAGAAACAAATCCTGGACTATATAAAAGAATCTTATCAGAAGATTTACAAAGAAGAAACATTTGACAAAACAGCAGCTTTACAAATCACTAATAATTTAATAAAAATCTCTATACAATAGAATACACTACTTGAAAGGCCAATAATAAAAGAGGAAGTTAGTCAGATTATTGAGAAGCTTTCAAACAATAAGGCTCCAGGAGCAAATGGTTTAATATATGAATTTTACAAGATGTAAAGGAAACATTGCTTCCAGTTCTCACCAAACTTTTCAATAAAGTACTAAAAACTGGGTACACTCTATGCTTCTGAAACAAAAGTCTCATTATACTAATTTCAAAAAAATCAAATGATCTAACAAATATAAACAACTGAAGACCAATATCATTAGTAAACTCAGATGCAAAGATCTTTATGAAAATCTTAGCAAACTGAGTTAACCCAATATGTGCCAAAATTATCAGCCCAGCCCAGCAAGCTTTTATTGCTAAAAGATCAATTACAGACACTGCATTGGATATCTTAACAACATTAAGAAACTAGAAAGAACAATCAAAATAGTACTAGGTTCTATTTCTAGATCAGCAAAAAGCATTCAATAGAGTTAACTCCCTGTTCAAAAATCAAAATGCCCACATAGTGGACTTAGAACATATTTCAGAATTATTCAAAGTTGAAAGAAGTATAAAACAAGGAGACCCTCTCTCTCTATTATTATATGTTCTTGCTATTAACCCTCTTATACAAGCTATTAGTGAAAACACCAGAGGTATTTTAGTCAACAACATTACATTCAAGATAGCTGTCTATGCTGATGACTTATCACTAGGAATTGGGTCACCCTCTGACTGGATAAAACTACAAAAAATATTGCAAATCTATGAAGAAGCCTCTAATGTAAGAATTAATAAGTCCAAATTGATTCTAATTTCACTTACAATAAATGCAAGAAGGGTTGAACTTCAAGGACAAACAGGGTTTAAAATAATAAATAAAGATCAAAACTCAGTTACAATATTGGGATATAGCATTGACTTAAAAGAAAACCCAAACAAATCTCTATGGAAAGATATTACAAAAAAATTAAAAATAAAATACAAGAACTATTACAAAGAAACCTCTCCTTTAAAGAGAAAATTCTAACAGCTAAAACTCTACTTAACAAAAAATCTGGTATCTGGCTTATCTTCTTCTTCTCTCAAGAGGCCAACTAAGTGAAATTAACTTCCTAATAGTAAGCTAGATCAAGAATAACTCTAGAATGCTTCTTCAGTACTCAACATTCCAACTGAACTATAATCAAGAAGATTTTACAGCTTCAATACTAAAAGATATACTAGATGTCTGACTGTTTACAGTATGGATAAAACTGCTAACTAGCAATTCATTTTGGGCTACTGCAAATAGAAAAACAATCAACACTGAACTGAACATTAAGAAAAACACTACAGTGCTAGAGGCTCTTTCACAAATATTATATAAAACCAGTGGCTGGCCTGACAGATAGAAACCATATCTTACAGCTTGGAAAAGGTTTAAAGGAAAACTAGAAGCTAATACTGCATGGCCATAGCCACCAACAAATATCAAAATAGGAGAAATAGATAGAGAATAATTCAATGTAAAGAAAGTTCTAAAAGCTTTTCACAAACTAAAAGCTTTTCACAAACCACTAAAGCATTCAGAGAACCAAACAGAGATGAGAGAAATTCCTACAAGGTTTAAATGGATAAAAACCAAAATAATTTTAAACAAAAAAAAGAATAGCATAGCAACTAGCTTATTGAGCTCTTCCTCTAAGATATTGACTACAACATATAAATCAAAATAAACTGAGTAGTTGCATAAACTGCCAATATACTATACAAACTAATGAACATTTCATTTTAAAATGTTCTTTAAGCAAAAAAATATAGGAAACAGCCTATAGCTTCTTTAAACACACCAATGAACCAATATCCCAATGAATCAGTACCTTCTACAATAGAAAATATCTTTTAAGCATCTAATATAGGATCAACTAGAAAACAAAAGCAGCCATATGGGTACATATAATAACAATATATGAAGTTTGGTGTTGGTACACCATGAAGAAATAACACTACCTTCATTGAGACAGCATCTAATATAGCAAAGCTTAGAATAAAGCATGAAATCAACCTTTTATAAAGCATGGCTTCAGAAAAAATCAAAACAAATAAAAAAGAGATTAGAGATATATTAAAATTCATTAAACCTTAATGTAAATATGTAATATAATATTATAAATAAAAAGCATGCTTAGATGCATTTTTTTTTTTTTTTAAAAAAAAAAAAAAAAAACTCTTCTGGTTTACTTCTAGAACTTATAGAAAAAACAAAATTCTTATCTAAATAAAACAGTTCACTTTTTAAACTCAAGCAAAGAGAGGTATATAACTTTTAAAAAGTATAGACTACTATTAGAAACTATGAACAGACTTCTATACAAGAAAGTTAGAACAGAAACTTACAAAAAAAAGTCTTTAAACTCTTAAAAGTTGATGAAAACAAAGAAAAATAGCTCTGACTAGGCTAGTTAAACAGAAAAACTGCATTAAACAAAAGAAACTAGACTAGTCAAACAGAAAACAAACTAGAAGCAAAAAAAAAGTAATAAACATGAAGTAAATAACAATAGACAAAAAGACAAAGAGAAAAATACACCAAACCAAAAGCATGTGCTTGAACCAAACAATCAAAAAAACATATCAAAATTTATTACAAGGCTTAAAAGAGAAAAAGCTATTGTTACAAACTTTTCTTCTAGTTTTTAAAAATGAGAATGCTCTTATACTAAACATCCAAAGTTTAAATAATATTATTACTAATAATATAATTGCAGCTCTGGCCACTAGTCTAAGAGAAGACTTAGTAGCTGCTAAACTACATATGTCTAGAAGAAAATGGCCATTTCTTGAAATGGTCCTTAAAAATAAGAAAAAAGTTTAGCTATATGCAGCTAATAAAATCTTTTTCTTCAAACAAGCTTTATTTAAATATATTTCAATTAACCTAAATTATTTTGAGAACCCTGAAGTACTATCTAAAATACTTAGAAGCACATATATTGGTAATCATAAAATTATAACTGAATAGAAAGAAGCACTAAAAATCTGTTTTTATTATGAAAAGAAGATTAAACAGTACTTGAAAGAAGCCAAAGAGACAGAGTAAAAATTAGAACCCAAAACATCTCACTTTTAGAAACATGCTTTAGTCACAACAATCCCTATATCAACATCTCTAAAGTAGAAGAACAAGCAGAGCTTTCAATAAATGCAAAAGATACAACCTTAAATTCTATTTTAGATAATAAAGAAATAACACTAGAAGACATATTCTCAGAAATAGCCTACAAGAAATCTGATTTTATTGTTATTATAACAGATATCAATGAAACAAACAAAATGGAAACAGAAGGAGCTAAGTTAACAGTTGCATCAATTAATTCTGAAAACAATATAAAAGAAATACCTTTTACTACAGTAATCTATAAAAAACAAAAAACTAAAGACAAAAAAAGGACTAAGCAAGAACAAGTTACTCTTACAAGAATGAAGAAGGCTCTCTATCGAGCTGTCTACCAAGAGCTTAACACAAAACTGATAAAGTTTAGCATAGCTTCATTCCTTTTTCAACTTGACCAATAATCAAAATTGCTATATTGAATATAAAAGGCTTAAACGATAAACCCCAAAAAACTCTTATTTTATTAAAATCATACAATTTAGACATAATTCTACTATAAAAAACCTACTTTTTTTTAAAAAAAAAATACATCTAAGCATACTTTT